AATGGGAAATTCAAGGCACTTTCCTAAGATTGTTAAATAACATGCAAACACCTAATGTTTTATTGAACTGCAAATCAACCCTGACAGGAAAAGCTGTTTGTGCAACAAACTGCATTTTGCATTTCAGCAGGTTTTCTACTTCCATTGACTTCTGTTTTAATAGTTAATGCCACTGGATCCCAGGAATTTGTAAAATTTCCTTGTAGGCAATACCTACATTAGAATGCTCTTGATTTGCAAATTACAATTTTCTTGACATTGAGGTCAAATGAAATTAATACCTGACAGGACACCACAAGAAAACTTTTTCTTTTTTTACCATTCCTGTATCCATCTCTTTGTGTACCTTCTATGTTGGTTTAAGCTTGAGAATAAAAAAAAAGCTCATTGTTTAAACAGTGAATATCTTGATTTTTAAAATTTTGTCTCTGAGACAGTGGGTTTGGCATTTCTAATATTTTGACTTGACTTCAGTAAAGATTTTATTTGGGCAAAATGGGGGGAAAAACATGAAAAATTACCATAAAGGCCCATCTGATTTACTAATATCCTTTAGGGGTCATCCTGAATCTGACCTAGTATGTACTACATGTGATTCCAATTGTATTTAGCACCACCCCCTCCCTGCTCTTTGTAACCCTGAATGTTCCTCATCAAGTATCTGTCCAATTCCCTTTTAATAATTTATAGATTCAGAATTCACTGTCTTTTTTGGGAATGAATCTAAATAACCCGTGACATTTTTATAACTACCTATTGACTTGCCCTGCTATCTGTGAATATAGATACCAAGATCTGAGCAATCTGTTTTAAAAATGGAGCCATTTATTGTACATTTATTTTCTGGAAGACACTTTAGTGAAAGAAAAATTGGTTAATTTGAGTGTGACTGATATTTTATTGAAATGTGAAAACGTGACACGGGGGTTTGTGCTGATGCGTAGAATACAAGGCCAAGTACTAACATTCTGTCCTAATCTTGTTCACTAAATGCTCCCTTCCTTTCAAAGCTAAGACTAACTGCAATAATGTCAGATGAAAAAGGAAGTGGCTAGGACACACAAATCTATTGAACATCCTGTGTACTGTGGTATACTTTGGTCTGTGGTATTTTCTGCACACATGCATGCAGACTTTTATCTATTTCTGACAACAATGTTATAAGTGCAGATCTATTCTTCAGTGACCCCAGGCTGTACATACATTTCATGAAGTTTGAATCTGATCCAAGTACTAATAGATTGTCAATTGTTGGCAAAAAAAAGGAACAAATTGTTTGTGCCAATGTTTGGTGAAAACAGACTGCATTTATCTGTTGCATGTTGGTGACTGGCAACAGACTGTTGTTACATATCTCACTGTTCTACTTTTAACCTGTGACGTAGCTGCCTGCACACCACATTTGGTTTAACGTCTGACAAGATTTGCACCCACTCTGCAGATGCCAAAAAATTCTGCTTTACTAAATTTATCTTCTTCCTGACCCCTCAATTCAGTTTGTAAACTAGATTTTTATGAAGTCGAAGAAAGTGGATAACTAAAGTTAGACAATTAACATTTAACACCTCATGAGTGAAGTGTGACGTGCTCAAGTCGCCTGGTATCAGACTTTAAAGAATGGAAACTTCTGATTCAGTGGTGAGTGCTGTCTCCTGAAACCTTTGTGGTTCCCTTCTATTTGTGTTGTCTGGTGCTTGTTTTTGAACCTTTTGTAGGACAAATAGCACACAACCTCATTTGCCTTCATTTACCATATTTTCTTCAATCTCACATGGAATATTGATGTCTTTGGTAAGGCCAGCATTTGCCTATTCCTAACTGCCCTTAAACTGAGTGAATTCCTTGGCTCTGAGGGCAATTAAGAGTCAATTGTGGGTCTCAAGTTACATGGAGGAATGAAAACATGCAAGGATGGTAGATTTCTCTCCTCGAGGTAGTAAACCAGATGTGTTTTTACAACAACTAATAAGTTGTCACAGTCACCAGTACTGAGATCAGCTTTTCATTCCAGATGTATTAATTAAATTTAAATGTCACTAGATGCCATGATGAGATTTGAACACATGCCCCAGAGTTAGAGATAACCAGGTGTAGAGCTGGATGAACACAGCAGGCCAAGTAGCATCAGAGGAGCAGGAAAGCTGACGTTTCGGGTCTGGACCCTTCTTCAGAAAATGACATGGCAGACAATGGGAAATTGGCACCCTGATTTCCGGCAGGACT